TTGTGGCTCGAGGAATAGCGAAGGTAAGACATAAAGTGCGCGAACTGGGTGCCGGTTGCCTCCGTTGAACATCGCAGTGCTGTCGATGAGAAGACTGAGTGACTGCATGCTTTCGAAACGTAAGTTTCTTTACCTGCAGGGGTAAAGAAACTTCGGAAATAAACACAGTTCACGGAAAGCTCGTGTTACGTTTTTATTTGCTGCTCCTCTCGCTTCGTACAATAGTTTAGTGTTCTCGTAAAGCGTTATCGAGCTCGATTTGCTCGATTCGTGGCCGCCATAATGAGATGCAGTCGACGGAGGAACTTTTGCTCCCCTGCTTAAGGGACGAACGTTTCTCCCTTTCTGAAGGAACATATGTGTCAAGAGCGTTCCTTTTTTTAGGGAGGACTATACTGACCCTTTTTTCTAAGAGTGTGGGACTCGGCTTCAACGCGCTCTTGCGCTGGCTTCTGCAGTGCTTTCTTTCACAGTCTCAGCTGAGACGCTGCTTCTAACAAGCCGACCCTGGTATGCCTTGGCTCTCACAGAGATAGATAACACAACAAGGGTAAGCACCCTGAATAGGCAAACAAAGTAAAATCTTTCAAGAAAGGCCGGCAAACTCTGAAGGCGACGCAGGTGGAGTGTCGCGGTGGACGGGTTTCCACCATAGACTTACTATAAAGTACGCTAGAGGTTCAACTTCCGTTAGTGTTTATGCGACTTCCGGGATGCAAATTGATGTAGGTAGTATGGAAAATAGATGTAGTATGGAAAAGGTAAATGAGTAAATAAAACAGGGGTGGCATGCGGATAAATTAACAGAAATAAAAATCGAAGGTATCGTCGTAAAAAGAGTTGCTTTGGCCAAAAAGTTTAGTGATCATTTTGCAACACTTGTCAAGAGTGTACACTGTGCAAATGCCGTTAGGTATGTCCAGAAGGTTTCATGTAGTATGTTTCTGTTTTCAAGTGACAAACATGAAGTATTTTCTGTTTTTCAAAGCTCAAAATATAGTGAGATCTCCGATATCTATGATTTTCAAATTAAACCTATCAAGCATGTTTTGCGGTCGATTGTTCCTTGCTTAACACATATTTTTAATCTAGCAGTTGAGAACGGAACTTTCCCCCCAGTAATGCAGGTAACAAAGGAGTCTGTGCTATATAAAACTGGAGATAAAAACAACCTCGAAGATTATAGACCGATTTCTGTTTTACAGATATTTTCAAAAGGTCTAGAAAAAATAATACATCATAGGCTGTATAGTTTCTGCGAAAAGTTTTCTATCTTAACCCTCAGTCAATACTAATTTAGGAGGGGTTTCTCTACCGAGCTTGCCTTGTTAAAACAAAAGGAATTAATTTTAAACAATATTGAAAAAAAGTTATTAATACTATTCATAGATTTTTCAAAAACGTTTGACCGGATCAATCATGACACATTACTTCAAAAGTTTCATATCGATGGCATTCGTGACGTTGCTTTAGATATGATTAGAAGTTATCTTAGTAATCGATACCAGCGGTGTTGAAATAAATAAAAAACACAACCGGATCTTACGAAACAGACTGCCGGCGTACCGCAAGGGAGCATTCTGGGACCACTTCTTTTTAATTTATACATCAATGAAATCGTAAATATTGCTAAAATGTAAGTCTCATTATTTACGCTGATGATACCAGTATATTATTTTCAGATGATGATACTGATCAGATTATAAGTGCCGCAAATATTTTTTTTTTGGAAAACTTAAATGCCTGGACAAATTCAAATGCATTAAAAATAAATGGCAGTAAGACAAAAGCCGTATTATTTAGATCACGAAATACAAACTGTCTTACACGTCCATTCTTTCTCTTGGAACACACTGTATAGATATAGTTGAAAGCGTAAAAGTTTTCGGAAATATATTTAATCAATACATGTCATGTCACAACTATTGCCACATCATCCCAATTTCGGTTATGCTTTTTATATATACGACCGCTACAAACATAAAAGTGATACATACTCTACAAAAAAAAGCTGTTCGCATTATATGTATTACAGAGGGAAAATACGATACAAAAATACATAAGGGAAAATACGACCGCTACAAACATAAAAGTGATACATACTCTACAAAAAAAAAGCTGTTCGCATTATATGTATTACAGAGTATAATAGTAATACTAGTTCATTATTTAGTAAATGGAATATTGTAGATTCCTAATCAGTATTATTATAAACTTCTTATTGCATTGAAAAGATATTTTCGCCAAAAATAAAATATATTCATGTCTATTTCCAACCTTAAGATGAGAGAGGTTGCCTATGAAACTAGGTCTGTAGACGCATGGTTAGTGCCGCACTCCAGAACGAACAACGGTAATCAGACGTTGAAATATATAGCATCTCGTTTTTTTTAAATCTCCTGAGTGAGTTGAATGTAGAAGTTCTGAATGAAACCATAAACAAAAATGTACGTTCCATGTTTGTGAAAGAGTGCCCCTGGAATTTGTAAACTTCGCTAAATTTATTACTTTTCCCCCTTTCCCGCCTCCCCCATCTAATGTTATTTTTGTGCTATACGTGTGATGGTGAAAAAAACAGCGTGTGTATGTACGTGCTGTCCTCTTTCGCTGCTGTGGGGGGGCAGAGGCTCATCAAACAACAACTGAGTTGCTTTTTTCTCTGTCTCCCCTCTCCAAAACGGAGAGAAATAAAGAGTTTGAGAGTTTGAGAAGCAGTCAACAACCAGTCTACATTTGCAGTACTCGTGTGGACTCCTATGGAAAAACTCGCGTGCATTTTTCTTCGTCGCCAGAAAATAACATGGAACACTTTTGTTATTTGGATCGTACCGAGTAGTATGTACATTTATTCACATTGTAATAGTGTATTTGCTTTAGTTAACGCATTTTTTTCATCACATGAACGATGTTTAACCTCGTTATATTTCGGGGCCTAACATGTGTTCCACAGCAAATGTTAAAAACAGGCGACGATTCTAAGCAAAATAACAATCGAAATAAATATAAAGTGTGTTCAAGGTGCGCCAGCATTTCGATGGCGCTTATATATTGCTAATATGCCAGTCCTGTCACTCTATAAAAAAAAAGGATCCCGTCTTGCATCTTTACGAGCGGTTAAAACATCCAAAACGTAAGTATTAAAGTACGTGGGCTATGAGAGGTGTATCTCTTTATGATTTTCTATGCCGGGCAGGTGTTGTCGGGCACAATTGTTCTCAAATATTTTGAGCGTGGGGGTTATGTTTTAAACGTAGAACAACCATTTTCGCACATGAACAATATTACGTGACCTTCAAATACTTTTTATCGTACATGAACAGGGTGTCACTGATCCAGTGTTACCGCGTAGTTCTTGCCGTTTCTCTTGGTTTCCCTGATGTCGTTCTTTCGTTTGGCACGTATATCTTCCATGCTGAAAATCGCCGACGTCGTGTTCATGCTAACAGTGTCCGACAGTGCACGTAAATACATGTACCAAGCCGTTTCAGCATCTTTTTCCGTGCAATGAGTTTGCCAAAAAAAAAAAGAAAAACGCCGAAACTGACTAATTATTTTGTCTGCCTGACTGAGAAATGTTGCAAGCAGCCTAGTACGTACGAATTATTCGGAATCTTTGCTCTTATAATCGAGCGCACAGAGAAATGCATTCACTTTTCCCCATCGAAATGCATTACCGGGAGTAAATATTTTGACTGGTTGCTGTCTGCTTCAATTTGCAAGAGCACACTAGCGCCAACTGAACCTCTAGCGCATATTATAATAAATCCATGGTTTCCACAGCCCAGGCCACGACCAGGCGAGTTGCAGAAATTTCTGGCTGATAGGGGTCGCGACGGTCGCAAACTGGCGGCGACCGGAAAGCTCTTCTTTAAAAGGTCTTTAGAAAATTTCAACCTTGGGTATTAAAAAGAAGAAAACATATTGCGGAGTGCGGGAGGGTTGCAGATTCAACACTGCATACATTTAGCAGATGCACTTCGAATGAGCGTACAAAATCTGCAAATTTCGATTGGGTCTGCATACCAAAATCGCTACATGTGTAGGAAGACCTTGTGACATATGTTTTGGCACCTTAACCTTATAGGGAAAATCTTGGAGAGATATATGTGAGTCTCGGGAAGCTCGTCAACCTGCGCAATTTTGTTGCAGCCACACCTTACAGCTAGGTCGTATAGTATCTTCATAAAAAGTAATATAAACTAAGTATATCTATTTTGTACCTTTATGCACAAAAACGTACACTTTGAGTATATCTTTTAGTACATTTACAAGTATTTATAATTTACCTTTTAGTACACTTCGTAGTTTAGTGGTGAGGCTCCCGCTTCAACTGCACTCGGCAACTGAGGTCTCCATAATAAAGTATATGTGTCCATGTAATATTACCAAACTAAAATATACGTTACATGTATTTTGCGATGTGTTTCATGCAAGTACAAAATCAGTGTACTTTTTGTTCTTTTTTTAAGGAGTGTATCTCCAATTAAGAATTCGATGTCTTGAAGTCAAATGAACACTTATGATTTGGTGTTGTGGCATGATAAAGCCGTAACCATATCGGTCATGATCGAATAAAAAGGAACGTTGTCCCGTATCTCTGTCATTGTATGATCAAAGTAAGTAGGAACATTTTACGAGTGTCGGAAGTGAGCCGCACGCCTCGATTGACAGCACCATTATCATTCGCCGTTTCTGTGATTAATCAGCCCGTGGCAAATTGAAGCAGCGTGCCCACTAGCGGGTTCATACGTTTACTGTTAGTACAAAACCCTGAGCTTGTTAAGCTGTTAAAAAAAAAAGGACGGAATGAACGGCCACATTTCCTATTTTCGCAATCTGGATGTTGGGTTTACAGCCTAGCATGCCTCCGGCATGCTAAGGTGCAGCATTTTATCCATTTAGAGGCATGCGGAATTTTATTCATTTAGTCTAGGACTAATCTGGACAAGCTCATATTGCCACTGACTGCACATCTGATATTTGTTGTTCATCATTTTCAGGAATCGGCTGACCCGATGCAGAGACCTACCGGACACTGATGTCTCCACCTGGATTCAGGCCGCCACTCAACATTCGTAAATGGGCCTTGCGCTCACCGTTACAGATATCTGTCACTTATGATTCATTTCGCAATAGACGCTGTTCTTATTGCGTCACATCGGGTAACTTCTCAACTGGGAGAAAGGATATGTTTAGGTGCAATGGGGAATTGCGCGTCCAAAGTGCAGCGACGTTGAAAATGTACCAGTGTTGATTCATAGGTGGGGTATATTGCCATACTCGTATTAAAAGCTGAACATTGAGATCACTTGTGTATTGTTGAAAATAGGGGGGAATAGGTGGGCGAGTGGGGTAGCGCACACCAGCTCGGAACGCGAGGAGCGAAAGCTCGAGCTGCGGATCCCAGCTATCCTGGACTCAATTCCTTCCCCTGCCAGTTTTAATCCGGATGAACATTGTACCGGCGTGCCGTCGTGTATCACTACTGCGTGATGCACGTTAAAGACTGCAAGCTAGGAATAGCACAGCACTGGGAAAATTTCTAATCTACAGCGTGAACCCGTGTCACCATACTTGAAGGGCAGACCAACCGCAGTGTAAACGCTAAGGTTTACTTTTTTTTTTTCACGTAGAACTACTTTTTTTTTTTGCGCTTGGAAGGGGGTTCAAATTTGGGAAGTCGATGTCACGAAATTTCTATCGCACGGAATGTCACAAAACAAAAAAAAAAAACTTTGGTTACGGAAGTGACGTGACGCACGTCAAAATAAATTTGAAGTTATTTTCAACACGGAAAGAAGTAGTAACAAAGAACCTGCGAGCTTTCCTGCGTGTCGACGTAGTCCTCGCATAACCGGTACAGAAATGACGCGGCGAACATTCTAACTCTTCCGCCACGGAGGCGCCGTCGGCTCCTTTCATCCCTGTGTGCTCCTTCCCGAAAACAAAAAAAAACAAAAAAAAAAAACAAAAAAAAATTTCGTATTGTGTGTTTGAAATGGCCCAATAGCGCGCCCAAGTTTCCTCCGTCGACTTATTTCGCGCGCGATTCCGCATACACGACTCGGAGATAACGGCGCGAGGGGCTGCAAAAATTGCTTTCACGGTACTCCGAGCCACGGGCATTCCCTTCTTGCGCACCCGGCATCGTCATGCGGGACGAGTCCGTGGACGTATCTCCAGTTTCCACAAACAACACATACGGAACAAGTGGACAAGGCACGGCCTCTCTTATATCACGCCCCTCTCCTTTCTGGTGCCACCCGCGCGTAGTTCTACGGTAATATATATATTTTTTTAAATATTGGTTGTAAGATAATTATGTATACATCCGGCACTCGAGGTGGGGTAAATCTGAAAAGACGATGTTTGTTTATAATTTTATTTAGTATATGATAACATGACTCTCTGTAACGTCATATTATCACTGACAGGATATAACTACAGGAAGAACTTTCTGTTGAAGCGCCTCAAGAAAGAGCTTCCTATTTTCGATAAAACTTGGCCGCCTCTTGAGCTTCGAGGGTGCACGCGCAGCCTAAGAATGGCGGAAGGCAGCGAGCTCAGGTGGAGGCTGGACATGCGAAATAGACGCCTTGTGGTTTCTGCCTTTCCAGTGACTCTATTCTAATTTTCGGATTAGCTTTGGCATTTGTCAGAACGACAGCCGCCACAGTGATGTCTAGAGTCTTTATCAAGCTAAGAATTGACGAAACAAAAACGCAGCCCTCGAATTACCCCCTCCCCTCCTCCCTCTCCAAAGTAAATACTCAGGCGCTTAATGCTCCTGGCGTGAAAGAATGGGACACCGCAAAACGGACCGATCTAGAACAACTTACTCGGAAGTTAACATAATACATTCTATTAAACTGTCGCGATTGCGTTAGAACCTGCAACTGAGCAGTACCTACCAGGGGAGGGACCAGTGGCACACCAGTCCACGTGCGTGGCCGGACTGGGTGGGCGTTGGGTCTTCTGCGGCCTCTCCGGTGAGACACAGCGCCTTTGGTTGCAATGCGGCTGTAAGGATTGACAGGGACTCCGTGGATGGGCCGTTAGCACCAGGGATAGTTGGCTGGTAGGAAAGCGTTGGCGTAAACACTTCCCGTGGTGGGCGATTTTGAGAAACAGGCGTACTTTACGTCGCGAGGTTCGGAACGCGCGTTTTCTGCTGAGAGAATCGGAGCGTCCGTTTTCGGCCGGGAGAACGCAGCGGCTCTGGCCGGCACCGTTTACACAACGCGTCTACAATAGCAGATACTCTTAAACGTATTAAGCAAGAAACCGGTGTTGTCTTTCTCGCCCGTGTGTGGGGGGTCACGGCAGAGCGGCAACGTCAGACCGCGTCTGGCAGAATGAATGACGGAATGGCTCACTTAGTCGGCGCTATCCACACCGGGGTCGCCTGTCTGCTTTGCCTTGCGAGAAATATAGCTTTGCTTGCATCGAAACCCGCCCGGCCTTTGTTCGTGAGATGATACGCAGGCCGCGGGTTCTCACGCTGGAATATAAGCAATCACGCCGTGGCGAGAAAGTGAGCCGATTGGTTATAGCCTTTCGGACAGTGGGAAACGCCCGTCTGACGACGCGTCGAGGATTCGCCAGTCCACTAAAAGGGGATGGACCAACGAGTGGCTTGGAGGGGAAACGCAGCGAGTGAGTTTAGTTGTGGAACTCGATAACTACCGCTCCGGAATTGAGTCAGGTCGTGGAATTCCCAGGGGCATCTGTCCCCGTAATCGGGACGTAATCTCACAAACCAGCCAACTCTCGAGCTTGGATAAGTTAACACCCGACCACCTCCTTCCCAACAACGTACAGGGGAAATATCATTTCGCAGTACTGTTTCTCTTTACATTTTCATTCGCAACAAAAGTATTAAATTGTTTATTGAAAAGTAACTATCAAGTTCAACTGAATTAGTCGTCGACGACCAAGGGAGGCAACTTCGTCTCCGGCGAGACCCGCCCAGCTTCCTACAACGAAGTCCGTCACCCCATCCGGACCTGGCAACCCAGACGGCGCAAGGTGACCGAGCGAAAAAACCCGTACTGTGGCTCTGCCACTTAGTTGGCTGGAAGTGCCATTTGGTAGCTAAGGAGCAGAGGACAATTTTCTGTGGCTATGCAGTCAAAAGCATGGGATTATTATAATTCGGAATAAACAACAGGTGCGAGTGCGCCTTGTGTTCGTTCACTTCTTCCTTTCCGAAAAAAAAAAAGTTGCGAGTGTGCCTTTTGTTTGCTTACTTCTTCGTCCTTGCTTGTGTTTTCAGTGCTATTAGTTGTTAAAGACTATGAACCAACTAGCCCACCTAACTAGTTTGCTGCAATTATTGAAATGCACGGTAGGGTTTCAACTGGTGCTAGTGTGCGGTTTCAAATTGAAGTAGAAGTCTGAAATTGACTTCCGGTAATGCATTTCTATGAAAAAACGTGAATTGATTTTCTCTGCCAGTGTTTACGTTTCTTCTTGCCATTTTGCTTTTTCAGCGCCTGTCCTCAATCATGAACCGACTGGCCCAAATTGCTATATTAATAGACTTTGTCCTGCGCTTGATTATAAGAGCGAAGATCACGAAACATTCGTATGTGCTAAATAGCTTGGACCCTTCGTCAGTGACGCAGACGATAAAGCATCGGTGCTTTTATACAAGGGGGTTTACGTGCCAAAGCAGTGAACGGCGTCTCGAAGAAACGTCAGGAGCTAAACAATAACACCGGCTCAGTACCTAGTTGTGCATGTAGAAGATCAAAATAAAGTAAAGCCAAGTGATGAGTGAGATTTCCAATAAATAACATTCCTTTTCTTCACTCAGCTGGTCATGTATGGGTGCAAAGGTAAGTTTGTTCTAGCGTTCGAAACTCATATTTTCAGGCTCGAAATCTTTTCAAAGGGAAAAAGATCAGAAAACTCTTGCCACCCGATAAATTCAGCAACAAAGTACAAAAAAAACACCCTTTATAGTGGTTTCTTTTTTTACAGTTTTGCAACTTTCAACCGCTCGTAAGGGAGTCATTTTAGTGACATCTATATCTCGCAGATTGTTAATATTAACGTCATTGGAATATTGGTGCCTCTTGAACAAATTTACACCTTTTTTGTCTGTTATTCCTTCTTTGATTCGCGACATGTCTTTGCACACATGCCGTGAAAAATAGGACTGAACCCGCAATACTGGGAAGTTAAACATCTCTCACTGATTGGGATAATACTCTAACTAACGTAATTTCAGCATTATAATGTTAACAAAATCATCTACTATTCGCTACGACACAAGTAACAGAGGTAATTTCTGTTATTCTCCGGCAAAGAGACAAAATTAACCCGCGTTTTCCGATAGGAATGCACAGAAGTACCGCAGAAATGGACTGGTTGCTGTCTGGTTCAATTTGAAACCACAAGTCCTATAGACACTAGCATCAGTTGAACCACTGGCGTACATTATAACATCTATATGGTGAAAGTTACGGGAGCGCGTGCTCAAGGCTGAGGACCCACGGCGGCAATGGAAGAATGATAATATAAGCAGGTGTTTTGAATCGCAAGTATCACGCTTGGTTCCTTCCTAAAATATTTATAATATACGAATATATAAAATATGAAAGGGTATTTATCTTGATATACTAAATATATGAGTATATTAGAAATTCTGCTTTTTGGGGACATGTGAAAAGTGACGTTTTTGGCCGTACATGAATTGGTAGTACAAATGGGCAGTGTTAAGTGTTGGACCGAATTGGTTCAACTTTTTAAGAGGTGTAGATAAAGATTGCTTGCTTTGGATATCGTGACCCTGTTTTATTTCCTCCTTTATTTTGAGATCTATCTTTCATGCAAAACAGGCTTGATGGGAGTAAATTCACGATTAATTTCCACGACAACTCCTCGGTTTTTATGTCTGAAACTTCTCAACAGCAAACAATCGGTATAGCATCAAAATGTGTGCCAAATGTTATTAAGATTGATGCTCAATGACTGTTGTAAGACTCGTGTGAAAATGGATAAAAATGGCAAAAATAGGAAAACATTGTTTCGTAGTACGAATACACCGCCGTTAGTTTTCAAGACAAAGTATC